AAATGAGGAAATTAAGGGTCTTTCTATATCTGGCGAGCGAAGTAACTTCGAATTGGGTGATGGGTGTTTTATCAGCTCGTTGCAATTTTTTCGGGCTACCGAAATTGGTGAAAAAATTAGCTTAACTCTGAAATTTCTTACTGCAACCGTGAAAAATTATTTACAGCACATTGTGTCCTCTACGATAAACAATTCTTGCGAGAACGGCTTAAGTTTCTTTCGAGACATTCCACCGCGTTCGTTCACCTTTTATGTGTTTGCGAATTTGCTCGCCTTTTGGCACACTTAATTCACGCACTTTCATCTTGATTCAATCAACCGGAATTAATCGTTACCACTTCAAGATCAACACACTGCTAAAAGATAAGATTGACAACCGCATCTCATTCTTAGAGGAAAGCAAATTACTGACTGATCGCTAGCAACCGAGCAGTTGATGCGATCAAATTATTAAAAAAAAAATTGTTTGCAACGATACAGGCAGCGAAACGACAAACTTCGCGGCCATGGTTGAACATCTACCATTTTGCCTACCTTAACCCCTTGACTTATTGTCCTGACTATGCATCTAAGCGTCGGCTGTTCACCGTTTTAGCACTATATTAAGTAAGGAAAGCTGGTGTATTACAGATTAATTAAATTTGGCAATCTTCAGTTTCCCAAATTAAATCGAAAATTGGAATCGAAGTCAATTTTTCTTACCGATGTAACTGTTTCCATCAGATCTTCACCGAAATCTGTGGCGCGGTTAAAATAGACACCCAGTTCCTCCTCCATTCACCTCTCCACTAACTACCCCTTGCAATTACCCAAACTTTCACCACCAAACTCACTCTCACACCTCGCAGGTAAGAAACTGAAAAAACCCGAAGAACACGCATATACGAGACTTCTCGACCGTCCTACATCGAAACGCTGCAAACAACCCCTCGAAGGGGCCAGGTCGTTGGAATCGCTCGTTCCGTCGCAATTTCCCCGCGAGCAGACGCGGAACGTGCCGTAAGCGGGACGCTGCTAAATGAATAAATAGCCGACGACAGTGTACGTCAGGCGTTGTATCTCCTTCGGACCGGTTTTGCGGACAGGTTACAAGGGCGAGAGTGCGACGCGTGCGTGTGTGCACGAGGGAGATTCACCGGAGTGGCGAGCGGACACGTGTCGGTCCCGGTCCTCCTTCGCGCTCACCTTCATCCAAGGCGGAACGCCAGAGGGGTAGCTAACGCGGCACTCTCTCTCTCTCTCTCCTTCTCTCTCTCTTTCACTCTTTC